CTGGACTGGACGATGCCCTGGTACTCTGTTTATGATCTGGTGCCCAGGCGTGGGGCTGCCTTGTGCTGGGTTGGATCTTGCAAAGGCTTCTTGAAGGCTCCCCAGGATTTTTGCCTTAAAATTCTCCATTTGTCTATTAGTTGGCACGAACACACCCCCCCCCCCCCCCCCCCCCGCGATGTTTCTACATTGTCTGTGCTGATGAGGACAAGGCTGTGGCTTTGGGGTGCAGCCCTGGGTCTGGGAAGTTTTGCTGCTGCCTTTAGTGGTGACAATCCATCTCCTCGTTAAATCCAGCTGAGCGGCTGGCTCTTGAGTTGAGATGGGAAAAGACCTGAATCATTCTGGATTTGGGACCTCTTCATGCTCATGTCATCAAATGCATCATGTTTCTGGGGAGCAGGGAAATGAGCCCCCACGGTGGTTCTGCACGGAAGCTTGAGGCTTCCTAGGGACCTGCCACAGGAGCAGTGCAGGCTCGGTGCCGATTTGTAGGTTTGTCTCCATTTCTCCTTTTTTAAAGGGCAAAATGATAAAGCCTGTCATGTGGAAGTACTGTTCTGGGGGGCACAGCTGATACAGGTAGCTACTTGCTGGGGAACAGCACGGATATCTAGGCTAAAACTCTGGTATTTGGGAGAAACTCAGCTTCATCACGGAAACTTGCCTGGGAGCTGGGCGATCGGCATCCCCCTGCCTCGTACGTGACGATACCTAGCAGCAAACAAATCCCATAGACGCTGGCAGAGCTCCCGGCCGCCGCAACGCCCAGAGTCTAGAAAAAGGATTAATATTATCTTGTTGGTACAAAGGGAGCCCACATTCTACTTGCTTCAGACCCAGCGGGGGGGAAAACATCTGCAGATGTTTGGGGGGAACATCTGACGTTCGCTGCAGCCTCTCTGAACAGCCCCAGCCCTGTGCCTGGGCTGGGGAGGGAGCTTTGCCCTGGCCCCGACCGAGCGGCACAGCCATTGGGGTGATATTTGTAAAGCATTTGGACATCTTTCTGCAAAGGAAGTTACTCTGGGTGTACTCCAGGGTTACTCCGTCCTGTGTAAATCCTGCAAATCTCCACCCCAGAAGCCCGGGCGCTGCCATCCCCCATGAGAAAGTGGCTCCAAATGAATAATTGCTTCGCTAGAGCTCGGCTGGTGCGTTCTCCCAGCTGAACCAGCCATTTATTCGCAGGGGAGTGGCGAGGAGCCCTGGGCGCCCCCACCCAAGCTCTGTTTGCAGAGAGACTTGTGCTAATCCCTTTGCTTTCCGGCACGGCGCGAGCAGGACCCCGGTGTGCTGCCTGGGCCTGGCGCTTCACCGGCCGGTGGAAAAACACCGTGGGAAACTTTGCCAAATAGCTAATATCCCGGCTTTTCCCTCCTCTCCGTAACACGGGCTCTTCAGGACGGGGTCCCTTTCTCCTTTTTTTGCACCATCACTGCTGAGAGCCCCGATCCAGCCTCACCGGGCTTGAGTGGTGCAAATTGTGAGACACGGAGGATGTAAAACCAAACTGTGTTAGAAATTCAGTCCTAAAAGTTGGCACAAACTAGATTTTAAAAGCCTCTGGGATGCTCAGGCTGGGCAGGTGGGTCTTGACAGGGATGTGCACGGAGCCTTGCCTCGCTCTGAGGTTATACCACCTCAGGTCTGAAAAAACCCTGCTTGTCTGGAAATCTGGTTGCCCCAAAAGGCTTTGGATGAGAAGAGGAGCTTTGGAGACCACACATGGCTGATGGCTCTTGGAAACCCAAACCCTAGTGCTGGAAAAAGCCCTAAGTGGGAACGGAATTAGGCAAAGCCAACAGCTACAAGCGCTGCGAGCATCCTCCCCCGCTGACTCTGCGGAGATCCCCCCTTGGCTCCGTCACAATCCAGTGGGAATGTCCCGCCGCGGCCGGAGCCTCCCCAACGTCCTTGCCCTCCCTGCCAGCCTTCCGAGCAGAGGGAGAGGCCGACTCCCCCGAGCAGCGCTCCTGGAGCCAGAGCCCTGATGCTGCAGCTCCCTTCCACCCCTCTCAACCCCCCCTGCCCCGGGAAAGGCATTGCCGGGGGGTCCAGGGTGAGGCTGTGGCGAGGTGACCATGGGTGACACACGTGGTGCCCCTCTTACCCCCCCATTTTCCTATTTCTGTCTGGGGAATAAAGCAACAAGCCTGAGTCCATCTGTTCAGACACCCAGTACCTGACTCCAAAAGCCTTTTTCTTCACCCTGTTTCCTTTTTCTTCCAAGACCAGGGCATTTCAACACAAACCCCACCCATATATGCTTCGCTCCTAACTCCTTTTCCTGTAAAAATACTTGTCTTATCTCTAGACTTTCCCTTCTGTGAGTGGACCACCATAAATTACCACGGGCAGACAGCTTTGGAAGCACTTCCAGGGCTATTCACTGCAGATTTCTCTCCGCCTTCGGCTGTTCTTAATAAAGGGTGCCCAGACCGTAACAGAAGAAAGAGGAGGAATGCGCCTTGGATTTTTGTGAGAGGCAGCAAAGGAGTTTCCCATGGGAACGTCAATCTGCAAAGCTGCATTTTGCCACATCTCCAAAGTACTTTATTTTAAAAAATGTATTTCTTTTTTCCCTTTTTCCTTTCTCTTTCCCCATCAGCTGTCCATCAGGGCGAAAATCTGCCTTGATGACCTTGCCACTCAGCTTCTCCTGTGCTTCCCTGACCCCCCCCCCCCCACACACACTTTGGCATTGCTGCTGCCGGGATGGCTCAAGGGGGAAGGAAGCACCAAGTGCTCCAGCACCTCGAAATGCCTGCGGGACTCCCTGCTGCAGGACAGCCTCGCCCCTGAGGCACTAGCTGGGTTAGAACGGGATGGAGCGTTTCTGTGGATGACAAGAGCATCTGCAATAAGAATAGCAAATATTGAAAATCCTCAAGGGTTTTTAAGAGCGCTAAATCCTTGTTTTGTGACTTAGTTTGCTTCTTTCCTTAGGAAGCATCCGCACATCCATAAAGACGCATCCTAGTGCTCGCTGATGAAAGGTTTTCTGCACTTCTCTCCAAAGCATCTTCGTAATAACCGGTACCAAAACTGGGGGGAAACTGGTCTGCTGCAGCCTGGCACTTTGGGTGTCCTTGCATTTTCCATCCCCTATTTAGCTCCATGTAGCGAACTTGTTCCCACTGCTCTGGTTTGCAAATGTTGTGTAGGTCAAGTTGAAGATTTTTTTTGGCTCCAGTCCTGTGAGTCCTTGCCAAGTATGTGGTTTATTGCATGCAAATGTTAGTCAACAGTTACATTATCCAAAGGCAGCCTTTTTTCTCTCTTTTTTTTTTTTTTTTCTTTAGCTTTAAATAAATGATTTGGCACAAACAAGCGTAAATGTTATGTCAGCATTAGACACTATTTAATCTTGATGGATATGTTAGCGGCAGAGCGTGACACTAATTGACAGACATTAAATTATGCTTTCTGTTTCTAGTTGCGTACAAACAGGAGTTCTGCTTCGTTAAGGCTGATTAAAACTCCCTGTCTCCACAGTTAGGGTGGGATTTTTCTATTCTGTATTAATCAAGGGGATATTTATCACCAGGAAAGCCTGCTGTGTCGTTCCCCTTGTTGTGATTAGTGCTTTAACACTCTCGGATGATTTGGTTCTCCAAATGGTACAGCCCTTTTTTTGTCCTCGTGCTTTGTGCTTGGGAAAAAGAAGAAAAAAAAAAAAAAGGAAAAAACCAACTGGAGGTCTATCTTCTGTCCATAAAGAAACCACTTGGGGGTTGCAGAGAAAAGAGTTGGGAGGGCAGGGGCAAGTCAGCCAAGATGTTTCTCGCTGGCAGAGGCTGCGGAGGAGCCGGAGCTGCTGCCCGCACCCCTGCCTCCCGCCAGCACCGACGGCAGACCCACAGCCTGCTTCGGCACGTGCCCACGCTGCAGAAACCCTGCACTTCACCGCGTGCGTGTTGCAGCAGAGCGTGGGGTGCAGCAGCTTTTTGCTCTGGGTGACGAACACGGCAGGTTCGGTGAGCGGGACCACAGCCGCTGGCAGGATTAGGGCAGGGGGAGGAGAGCCGGCCCCCAGCCCTGGCGGCGGGGACGGCTGCGTGTCACTGCCCGTGCCAAACGGGCACCCACGCTCGGGAGCTGTTGTTCCCTTCCATGACATTGCTGGGTGCGGGCAGTGGAGCCTGGTGAGCTGTGTCTGCCAGAGGATCTGGCTGCTGAGGACCCGGCACCAGCCTCCTAAGGCAACAGGAGCTCCCCAAGACCTCAGTTTGCCATCTTAATGCCTGCTTTGGCTTTTTTTTTTTTGTTGTTTTTTTTTAATCTTAAAGCTACTGAAATACAAAATTAAGCTGGGAGTAATGGTGTTTCAGCTTGCTATCCACTTGGGAAAAGTCGCAGCTGCCAACAGCAGAGGCGAGGGAGTGTGTGCAGGGGCAGGCTGGGACCCAAGGTCAGCCCCTCTCCGCCTCTGTACGAGGGGGGAACGTTCACACCGGCAGCTCCCGGGGCGAATTCTTTTTCTTATGGTCCTATGGAGCTCAACGCTGCCACAGATTGCATCGACGTGCTTGCAGGACTGGAAGGCAGGGGTAGAAATAAACACCGGGATGAGCGCTTGTAGTGTAAAACCCTGGAGACCACCAGGATTGTGTTTAAATTGTGGGATTACGGGTAATTTGGGGGTGATAAAGAAACTACTTCACTGTATAAACTCTAACTTTTGGGAAATAGTCACCTGTTTAATGCTCATGGGAGAGTAAATGGGATTAGAGGGTGTTCAGTGGTACTCCTGGCTGGATGAGTGATGGAGCAGCATTTGTAGCTGAGTGCCTAGAAATAGCAGTGAATGATGATTTACCACCTGTGAGCTGGTGCTTGTGACAATTCATTGCACAAAACTCACTCGAGTGCATTGTCTGCAACAGTTGTTCATACGAGAAGCTGATGCTGGTGGGACAGCCGTGGGCACTCCGTGGCAGAAACTGGGGTTGAAAGAAAATCCAAACCCAGAGCAAAAAACCCACAGAGGCAGCTTGTTTTTAATAAAGACTCTGCGCTCTTTATTCCAAAGCACAATGCACATCAGGTAAAACAGTATCAAAAAATATGTACAAAAATAGCAACTATTTGCCCTGGACTGGCTTTGATACCAGCAACGTTAAGTATGAGCAGTTGGGTGTTGAAGCAACAAAAAGGATATTTTACTGGTTGTAAAACAAAAAAAAAAAAAAAAGAAAGTAGTTATGACACAAACATTTTCCCAAAGAAGCATCCAAGACGTTCGTTTATATCTAATTTTCAGCTTATATCTAATTTTCCCAGCCCGGTTCAGTCCTTCCCAGCATAATGTGCCCGTCCCTGCTGCTTTTCCGCTGTCTGTGCAGAGGACACAGTGTGATCCATATCCAGGGGCAGGTCCGGGATGGTCAGAGCCACTACTCCAGTGAATTTAGTGCAAATATAGTGTCTCTGCATCGATTTAAGCAGCATCCCAAGGGGCCGGGTGAGCCCATGGGATTTTGGCAGGACTTTCTCCCGCTGGAGCTGCCACCAGGAGGGATGCGTGCCCTGTGGGGGCTTGGCTTCGAGGCCATAAGGGCTTTTTTTTTTTTTTTTTCTTTTTTCTGTTGTTCCAAGCAGCAGATAAGCCAAGTGGATAAGCAGCAGGACTGGGTTTGAAACATATTGCAACAGCGCAGGGGAGATGGCCTTCTGGCCAAGGGGCTGCGGGATCCGCAGCATCTGAGAGCAGGAGCTGGAAGAAAAATGTTACCTCAAGATATTAGCTGTTACTTTCAGACAATTAGAAAGCAACTGGTTGTCCTCCAAACTGAGCAAGCAGCTTTGATAGCAAGAGAAAACGAGTATCTACCGCAAAGGGTTTCAGTTTGCATGTTCTCCCTTCCCTGTCCTCCCTTCTCCTGAGTTTTTCCTCATCCATGTACCCCCAGCAGCTTTGTCTTTGCCATGTCTGTGAGCTTGCAAGATCTGGATCTACTGGCAAGGCAAAAGATCAGTTTCCAAATAATGTTGTTAAAAGGGACGGATCTAAGCAGTTTCTTAACATGATTTAATTGTCTGCGTTTCCCTGCTGCAGGAGGGAATTGGACCACTGTGATTTTTAATTCTCTTTCAGAAAGAGCAGGTACCACAGGAACGTTTCTGGAGGTTCACAGGGAAGGAACCTCTATGTATTTTTGTTTCAGAAGAGTAAATTTGTTCTAGCACAGCTCTGCTGCTTTACACTAGCAGAGAAAAAGCAGCTGATGTGTTTCCTCTCTTGGAAATCTCATTTATTTCTACACTTTCTCTCATAGATTTAGTGGCATCTAAAGTTTTAAGTATGATTAGTTAAAAAAAAATAAAAATCTTTGCTACTCTGCTAGTGCAAATGGTTGTTGTCTCACTAAAAAAATTACTTGTAAAGATCTCATCCTCTTGCTGCCCCGATGCCTCGGCACTGGGCATTGGGCTGATTTCACCACTTGCAAACAGGGTGTTTGCTGCTTTGAAAGCTGACGGGAGCGTTCAACTCTTTGAGCTGCTGCTTTTTCAAATAGCTTATATGGGAACGTTCAAACAGCGTCAACACCCGGATATGCAAAACTCATCTGTCATTGTGCTATTGTCCGTGTTCCCGAGGCTTTCTGGTTTGGCTGTTGTTGGCATCTCGGCCGTCGAAGGGCAGAGGGAGGGTTTGGGGGGTGGGGGGAGGCTGGCACGGCTCCATCCCCAGCAAACCTGGTCCCCAGCTGCAGCTCCGCGGCTGGCAGGCACTTCGGGTTGTTGTTGCTCGTGGCAGAAAGCGGTGTAATTCTCCCCAAAAGCCACATGAGTTGCCCCAGGTGGAGGCTGCGGTGCTGCCCGACAGCACGCAGAAATCTTTGGGGGGCTCTGAGGCCCCTCTGGGGCCTTTAGCAATTATGATATCAATGGCAGAAATGCAAATTATTTTGCTTTTTTTTTTTTTTTTTTTTTTTTTTTTTAGTAGCCTAAGTTTTAGATCATACAACAACTGGTGGCCCAAGTGGCCGAGCTGGGGCCATATTGGTGCCAGCCCAGGAGCAGCAGTTTGCATTTTGCCCGCTTGATCTCAGCAAGAAACAAAGGCTTTAGGGGGGCACGGGTGATTTAGCAGGGGCAGAGAGGGGCAGTCGCTGTCTCTGGGGCTGAACCATCCCTTTCTGTCCCTGAAAGAGCCTGCAGTATACGGCTGCAGATTGAACCCAGAGCAGTGCTATCAAGCATGCTGAATTACAGGCTTTTAAAATCTTGGGGGGGGTGTGTGGTTTTTTTGGGTTGGTTGGTTTTTTTTTTTTGTTTGTTTGTTTGGTTTTTTTTGTTGTTTTTGTTTTGTTTTGTTTTGTTTTGTTTTGTTTTGTTTGCGGTTTGTTTTTTTTTTTTTTCAGTGTTAGTGACAAGAAGCTTGTGCAGCATCTAAGAGATGCTGATCATTACCACGAATGGGGTCTCCGTCCCCGAGTTAGCACTTAGAAAGAGCGATGCAATATTAAAAAAAAAAAAAAAAAACAAACCCAAACCCAAACCAACCCCAAACTATTTTAAGAGAAAAGGATGCTTTCCACTTAAAAAAAGAGGTTACCACCATGAGGGACTCCAGCCGTTCAAGTAGTAGAGGCAAGGCAGGTACTGCCAGCCGCCCCGCAGCGCGAGCAGCGATGCTCCGGGGAGCTCGGCCGCTTTCTGCCCGGCCAGACGCGTGTCCAGTCTGCTGATTTCGGAGGCGACCTGTTTCCTCTTGGTTTTATATCTCCTGTTCTGGAACCAGATTTTCACCTGGGTCTCGGTGAGCTGCAGGTTTTTGGCCAGGTGGGCTCGCTCGGGGGCCGACAGGTATTTTTGGTGGCTGAATTTCCGCTCCAGTTCGATGACCTGGGTGTGGGAGAAGGCTGCCCGCGAGCGCTTCGCCTGCTTGGGGGGGCACGGGGCGATGGGCAGGCGTCGCAGGGGGGGGTCACACTCTGACAGGTCCGTCTCTGCCGTGGCATCTGCAGGGAGAAAGAGCTGAGAATTACCTGCTTGGAAATTGCCCAAATCACTTGCTTTTTTCCCTTCCAGAGAGCAAAATAGTCATATTATCTCGGAAATATTTTCATTTAATGGAACAAACACCATCTTAAAGTCATATAAGGGAGTTTTTCTTCCTAAATCACACTTAATTCGTATAAGCATGGATTCAATATGAACATACATTCAAGGGACTAAAATAATACTGAAAAGGCTATTTTGTAGTGTTGGTGGAGGTCTGCTTAAAACCTCAAGGTACTGTTCTTACATACATTATGGCATCAATAGCTCTTGAGACTTTTATTGCAGAATTCCTACTATTAGACACTTCTTTGAAACATCCTCACTGCTGTGCCTATGGGGAAATCCTGATCCCCACAGAAAACAAGTTCCTATCCTCAAGCTACGGAGGATAGCTCAGAAATGGGAAATCAGTGCAGCTTAAAGCAGACTGCAAAACGTTGAAAAGAAATTAATTCCTCCCTTTTCTCTTTCATGACTCCAAAGCAATGCCATGAAATTTGGGGTCAGGTTTTTAAACCTTTAGGCCTGGCGTGGCACACATAGCTGCCGACCTGGCCTCGGATCACAGCTCCAAAGCAGCATCTCAGTATTTGGCTCTGACTTATTTCTCGTGGCACCGGCTGGTTGCCTGAGCCGCGACCCAGAAAGGTGCTGAGCTCCCTGGGAGGCGTCACCTATAACTGTTTAAAACTTCTTAAGTCAATTTATTTATGCAGCTAGTTCCTTTTTGTGTATTACTCAGCTTAGGATGAAATAGCCCAATTTTTTTTTTTTAACCTTTAGTTATTTCTTAGTATATTTTCCTAAGACGTGAGCATAATGCTCAGGATAGAAACAAGGGGCTTAATTCTCTGCTTGAGTAAATCATGGTTGTCCCGCTAAAATCCCTGCAGCTTCGCTGATTTGCACTAGCCACTTTTGGGGAGATTTGGTATGGCTTTTAATGATTTTCGTAATAATCAGCCCGGTGGCTGTTTCTGAACTTGCTTTTATGTAGAAGCTTCTTTTAATAGAGTTGAAACGTAAAGCCAAAATTCCCCTGGCAAGGGCTCTCTTAGCAAGCAAGAGCTGGTCGCTAGAGAGTTCAAAATTGCTTTTTTGGCTGTTGCAGCTCAGCCCAGGATTGTTTGGGCAAGGAAAAGCTGAGTCCCCTCCTGCAGCCCCGGCCGTGCTTGTGCTGCTGCAACAGCAGAGACACTGGTCAAAGTAATTTGCTCCTGACTGATTTTTGGTACGATGCTTCTGCAGTGAAACCTTATTGCCTGCAATGAATTTAGCAATCGCATCCTACAAAGGGACGCTGTGGCAAGAAGAGCAGGATCGTTATCAATAAACCACGTGAGGTACAGTGGCAGAGGCAGGAGCACCCTGTAAAATTGGGGCTGGGCAGGCGGGAAAGCTGAGCCCTGCTGCAAACAGCACAAATTCAACACGGGGACTTTCAAAATATCCCCGGACCAGAGGCACCGATGAGCTTGGCCACGGCGGCGTGAAGGACCAGCACAAACTGTCCCTCTGGGCTGGCAGCCCTAAACCACCCCCCACCCTTTCTGGGGACCTTCTGTGTTGAAAGGGAACTTTATTTCCCAAGATAACGCAGAAATCCATCGGCTGGATTTGTTTGTTTTTTTTTGTTTTTTTTTTTTTTTTTGGTCGTTGTTTTTGTTTTGGTTTTTTTTTTTTTTTTTTTTTTTTTTTTTATTAAAGTGGCATTTTAGGCAGATTCAGTCCTTTGACGCGCCTGGCGAAAGGTTTGCACGCAGTTGCTGTTTCTTTTACTTTCCCACTGCTAAAGCACAGATCCTCCCTGGTATTTAAAGCACGGGCGATTTGGCTCCTGGATGCTCGAGGCAGCCGGGGCTGGACCCTGCCCCTTGGTTGACCCAAGCGCGGCCATCGCTGATCCAGGAGCTTCCACCCCCTTACCTGCATCCGCCCCGTGGGGTGTCCCTCGGCCTTGGGGTGCTCCTGGGGGATGAGGGCTCTTGGGGGGGAGCCCTGGGGCAGCCCCCGGGGCTGAGCTGCCCTCGCTCCCCTCCGCCGTGGCCGCCCCTGGCTCCCCGTCCTCTGGGCTGCCAAATCCTCTGCTCTTGCCCCGTTCCGGCCGCGCTCCCCGCTCTGCCCCATCCCGGAGGATGTCTTGGATGAGGAAGGATGTCCGGGGCCTGGAGGAGATGGGAATGGGCTGCTGGGCTGCTGTTGGGGTCTGGCTCATCCCTGCTGGGGTGCCGCTGGGTGCTCTCTGCCTCCTTGAGGGGAGCACTCCAGCACTCATCCTCCTCTTCCTCTCCCTGCCCAGAGGCACGCTGGCTTCCCACCCTCCCTGCGCTGCATTTATAGGGCAGGCAGCCAAGCCTCCCTGGGCCTGATTGGAGATCCCTGGCAGGAGTCTACGCCCTTCAGTTGTGTCTTGGCTCCGGCGGTTTTTCTGACTGCTTGTTTCTCCCTCTTGCTCAGGACTCCCTTCCCCGTGGATCCATGGGGTCACAGCCAAGCCTCAGCCTCCTCCTCTGCCCCTCTGTTACTCCTTTGCTGGCATATCACCCCCCTGAGATTTTACAATGAGAGAAGGATGCCTGAGTTCATCCTTTTCAGGATCAAAATGCGCCCAGGGTGGGGGTTTTGGCCAGAGGAGCAGGGAGCAGCATTGCTGCCTTGGAAGGATGCGCTGCAAGGGGACAGCTTCTGCACCCTCGGCCCCAACCCCATCGAGCTGGCTCTCTGCTTGCTCCTTGTTATGGAAATTATTTATGTCCTGGGGTAATCCCTTGACATCTTTGGGGAAATGCTGTTTTCAGGGGAAAAAAAAAATGAAGAAAATAAAAAGATTGGTTTGTTTTTTTTTTTTTTTATTATTTTGAGGGCTTTGGGGGCATTCTTCAAAACTTTCCACTTTGATGTGCTTTCAGTTTGTTGCAAAACAGGGGGGAAATGTCAAAGGCATTTTCATCAGCTTTGTAAAGCTGAGTGAGGGCTTTAAAATGAAAGTTAAGATATAACAGACAGGGAGAGTGGCTCCAGAGGCAAATGTTTGCACAGAAAGGGGCAGAGGGTTCATATGAAAATTTAAGCGTAAACCTCAGACTAATTCCTTGACCAGCTGTGGAATGGGACAGCATTTATTTAAGAAGCCTTAGTACCTGTGTACACCATCCTGCAAGACCCTGTGTTCAAAGGCACCCAAAAGGAGCAAACCCCTCCCTACTCCAAGAAAAACCATGAGTCGAGCGCTCTGCTATGACAGATTTTTTTTGTCTGAGTATCTACTTTATTTGTAGTTGCTCTTCTAGAGTTTCTGTTTGGAAAATAACTCCCCGCTCGCCCCACAAACAGCTGCGAAACCCACCCCCAGAGGTGAGCAGCGCATGATTAAAAAATCACCTTGTCCCATCCTAAAGCAAAGCGAGCTGGTGGGGAAGCCTTGTGGGAGCAGGATCCGGCACCACGGATGCAGCTGAGCAGCATCCCTGGGAACTGCAGGCACCCTCTGAGCAGTATATGTGTATATACAGTGACTCCCCTATAGCCTCCTTGTCTGCAAACTCCTTTTGCTGTTGGAATAACGTAGCACTGATCACCCCTTCTGTTCCTAAAGCTTTCACTCCAACCCAGCCCCTCGTTCTCAGCCGGAAAAGCCCAGGCATGTTTTTTTTTTTTTTTTTTTAACCTTAAAAAGGGGAAACAATAGATTTCCTTGAAATACCCTGAGGACTTTGTTGATTTTATAGGAGGGTGTTTGGTTACGGCATCCCAAAGCCCAGAGCAGGTTGTGCAGACGTGCCCCAAGCCCTGCTTTTAACCTGCCCTTTTCTCTCCTCCTTTAACCTGCTGATGCTCCTGCATTAGAAAACGTCCCCCTACATTCACTGTATGCTTGGAAAACTTCAGTAGCTTCAATAATTCATCCTCATTATCCTCTTATAATCTGAGAAAGGGAATTTGGGAAGATTTATGAAGCGATTGGAGCCCAAGAGTATTATTGCAGCCGTGGCCCAGCCGCTGGCCCTCTAACCCCCCGGCCTCACTTCTGGAGAGCAGATTAGGAGCCGGTGTAAGGTGCTGCTGTGGGTGGGTGGGCTGCCCCATAGCTCCCTGCCTGCCCGCTCCAACGCTTAATCTGCATCCCACTGTGCCTCCGGGGGGGGGTTGGGGTGGAGGGGGAGCCCCAAGGGGCACCGGCGGGTCCCCTGGCAGGACCAGGGCTTGCCCAAAACCACATTGCCCAAAGCCACGCTGGCGTGCCTGTGAGCACAGCACCGTGCAGGGACGCTCCCCGGGGACACCGTGCCCAGTTTGGGAGCCAATTTTCCCGCTGCAGAGATGCTACCTCTGCTGATTTTAGGCTGCCCTCGCTGTTGTCGGAGCTCGGCACACGCCTCTCCCCCCACAGCACACCCAGACACTCAGCCTGTCCTGCATCCACAACTATTTTGGGGTCTATCACCAAGACGTGAACATAAGACCCGGCAGAAGGGTTTGTCTCCCCAGAAGCTGGGCAGTTGACTTCCTTCCAAGGGGATAATTTCATTTCAATTAAGTATTTTCCTGCAAAAACAGCTGGGCTGTGACACCTTTACCATATCCATTAGTGAAATCTCCTGGTGTCTGTAGGTCTGCCCTGGACAGCCTCTTTGCGTGGTTCTTTTGTGGTCAGATCCCTTTTCCCTTCACTGCCAGTGCCTGCATCCTTGGCTCGCTTGGTGAAAATAACCCATAGCTGGTAAGCAGTGAGAAATTAAGCCCACGACAGCAGTTTTGGTGCAGGAGAAAGCTTTGGGGAAATGTGGGCTGGTTTGTGTGTGTGTGGGTGGTTGGGAAAGCTGGTTTTGCAGTGGCTGGTGTAGCGGGTCATTTTGGATTTACGCTCAAACTGGGAATTTTAAAGCACCAGCCCTGGCATGTGCTGCAGAGAGGCAGGGAACTGAGGGGATCTGGCAAACACCACGGGATCCCAACCCCTTCCCTTTCAGGAAGCCCCTCCAAAACATATGGAGGGGCATAAATGATTCTTTCAACACTCATGTTTTCCATTTTCAGACTTTTTTTTTTCTGAGCTGGGAAGGGTAACAATTTCCTCCTTTGATTTCTGTGTTTATTTGGGGGGAGTTTCATGTGATTTGCCTTATTTGATTGCTGAACCTCGAAGGAAAAAACCTTGGAGTTGTTAAGACTTGCAGGTAAGCCCGTGCACCGGAGATGCCGCTGTTTGCTGGGGCTTTCCCTGATGCTGGCAGCGTTTCCCAGCACAAGGACCCAGTTGAGTCCCCTGGCTGCTCCAAAGCCAGGCCAGAGACCCCAGATTTTGGGAGATATCCCTGAGTGTGTGGGTGGATGAAGGGGAGGAAAAGGAGCAGCACCTTGTCACCTTCCCCAGTCGTTTCCAGGGTCTTGGTGGGGCTGCAAAGCCTCGGCGTGGTGGGACGGCGTGCAAGCTATCTCACCCAGAAGGTTTTTCTGGTTTGATTTGGATGTCAGGGATGTCCCATTTGGAAATTGCAGGAACACCGGAGTGATGGGGATGAGTGCGATTAGAGATAAAATCTTAATTGCCTCCTGCAGGTCTCTTTTCATCAAACCCTGGGAGGATAAGAAGCTGTTGGGAAAGGAGCAGGGAGGAGGGGGCAGTCCCGTGAGGTGGGAGTTGTGTGCCGGTTGTTGTCTGGCTCCGTCACTGGGATATCTCAGCTTTGTAGCAGCAAGATCTCTGTTAAACCAACGTTTTGCATCAAGCATGGATCTGTGGGTGGTTTTGCCCCCTCCCCGATCCGAGTAGAGCCTGCTTGGGGCAGGGGGCATGGGCAGCCCGACGAGCGGGTCGGTCTAACGAGGTTCTCACCGGGTTTATTCTGTAAGAGTGAGGCTGTGGATTTGTGCTGCCTGTTCGGGAGGTGGCTGTGCTCCCCTTCGATCACCCCCGGGCACTGCCACAGCATCCAGCTCTCCTGCATTTCATAGAGAGACGTACACGTATGAATATACATACAGTCCTTTGATCCAGCAAGGCACTTGACGCCGATGGATCCTGGTTGGGGATCCTGCACCTCCCGGTTCAGCCCCGGTGGCGTTGGTGTCATTCAGACGATGCCAACCCACCTCGTGAGCCTGTAACTACGGAGCTGCTCCACCACGTACCTGCAAACCCGCTGCACCAGTGAGGGAACAGCACCAGAGAGCTGAAAACACTCGCCAGGAGTCGGGGGGGGTTAAATCTGAGCAGCTCTCCAAGCTCGGACTACAAGGTGATTATCTTTCTGGGTTAATTATTCATATTAAGATTGATTTGTTGTTGGTTTTGGTTCCTTTTTTTTTTAATTTTTTTTTTCTTTGGGTCAGATTTTGATGCTCAAATGCAAGTTGTGGGTATGAAAAATCAAAATGCTAAGTGAGGAATGGCAATAGAGTGAAAACACACAATTTCATTAACTTGATTTTATTTGCAAATAATAATATTAATAATAATAAAGACAGAAATTAACACCTGTGCTGGCAGATATTAAGAAATATAAAACAGAAAGGTACCTCTAAAGATTAGAGGAACTGAAAGCTTTAAATAGTGTTCATAAAAAAGTGAATGCACAGTGATGTGCACAGACCCTGTTTTCCAGCTGTCCTTAGGCAGAAAATGAGTGTTCACACCCTCGTGGTGGCCATGCGGTGGCATCAAACCCTCTGGGAGCAGGGAGGGCCAGACTCCAAAACATTTGTGTTTAAATAAATAAATGCCCTCAGTCACTGGGTCTCCGAAGTGCTGGCGTGGCAGCATCCCCCTCGCTCCTGACCTGCCTTCGCGGAGACGTGACCGTGCGAGCTGCCTGGAGGGGACGATGCTCCGGAGACGTCCCACTGTCCGGAATGTCCGAACCCTCCAGATTCGACCCCTGTCCCGACAAAATCTGGGCTCTGGAGCAGGGGGGAGAGGGGTGGGGGGGCTTTCCTCCAAGCTTTTCAGGCAGTCCTGACCTCCACGGCCGCCTACCAAACCCTGATCCCCGCTTGCAGGCAGGCGGGCTGGTGCTGAGCAGCGCCGGCCGTGCCCAAGCTCACGGTGGGGACGGCGTTGGGGGGCAGCCCGGTGTAGCCCCCCCGGTAGCTGGCACCATACGGGCTGTTGCTATAGGCACTGTAGTAGGAGCTATAGGAGTAAGGGCTGGCGGTGATGCTGTACGGGGCTGGGTAAGGCTGGGAGCCCCCGAGGCAGGGTTTGCCATCCCTGACCAGCACCGGCACGGCCACCCTGCGCGGGGGCAGCGGGTGGGCAGCCAGCTCCAGGGATTTGTCCTGCCTTTGCCTCTTGCACTTGTACCTCCGGTTTTGGAACCAGATTTTCACCTGCGTGGAGGTGAGCTTGAGCACGCTGGCGAGGTGCTCCCTTTCCGGAGCTGAGAGGTATTTCTGTTGTTTAAATCGCTGCTCCAGTTCGAATACCTGAGCTTGGGAGAATAAAACGCGGGGTTTTCGTCGCTGTCGTGGCTTGGGGTGCTGGCAGGGGTCGGCTTTCTTCTCGTCTGCCTCGAAGGGGTGGGCGAGCAAACATTTTCCTGCAGCAAGAAAAACTCAAAGCAAAGTGAGACCCAAGTCTGGTTCTGTTCCCAGTGAGTGTGTTTCCAAAGCAGGGAATGAACTGGGAACAGGGCCCCTTGGGTATATGATAGAGAAAGGTTGATAATTGATAAATTTAATATCAACTTTCCTGTGATGTTTAACAGGAATTCAAGAAAATTCCCTTTTTTTTTGGATGGAATGAGACTGCTATATGGATTTTGCATAATGCCTCCTTTCGGTCCGTGCTGTTGTGGGTGCTGCCCCTGTGGCAGCCCCAGCCTGGAGGGGCACAGGGGAAGTGGGGTACACTGCACGCTCGAGTACCCCAAAACACAAATCCCCTTCCCCACCACCCTGCTCTGGAAGCAATTGCAGTCAGACCTCCGGCAGGCTTTACCTCCGGCGCCCGAGGAAAGGGGAATCCTGCAGCTCTCTGAATTTGAGCAAAACCAGAAAAATGGTGGGGCTGGGAACAAAGGAGGGAAAATTGTTAGATTGGAGAGAAGAGGCAAAGTAGTGTTAAGTAGTGTTTTTTTGTTGTTTTTTTTGTTTTTTGTTTTTTTTTTTTTTGTTGTTTTTTTTTTTTTTTTTTTTTTAGTTTTGCTGGGGTTTTGCGTCCCAGGGGAGCTAGCTGGGGGTGTTGCACAGCGATCACTCCCTGGCTGGTGGGATGTGCTCGGGTGCCCTGGCAGCCACAGCTGGGGCTTGGGGAACTTGTGTGGGGGCTGCGGAGAAATAGGGGTGCTGGAGGGCTCCGTCTGCAGGTACGAAGCGGGCGGGGAGCTCTCCCCGGGCTCCTGTCACCCTCCCCGGGCTGCTTTCGCCCTCTCTGGCTCCCCGGCTCCCTATCCCAGTTCCCCCCAGTGCTCAGGCTCTAGTCCTACTGGTTTCCCCGTTTCTCTGCTCTGCAGCCGCCGGGCATTGGGGAAAACACGAGCAAAGGAAACTTTGTCGGGTTGTAGCCGCGGGGAAAAGGGGGGGCCCGTCCGATCCCCCCTCGGCGGCCGCCCAGGAGCAGCATCCCCGGTCCCGGCTCCGCGCCCCCGGGCTCGGTCCGATTCACGGAGCATCGAAACGGGGGGGTTGTGTCATCGAAAACGGCGGCGATTTGTGCCTTTCGGCAGAAAAAAATCCCCAAACTTGCTATATCCATTCCCCGCGGCGGGGGCCGTTTCGTTTCCCCGAGGGCGGCCGGGGCGAACGGGGCGGGATGCGCCGGGACTCGCCGGGCTGCCCGGAAAATGCCCCAAACAACACCCCCCCCCCCCCCCAAAAAAAAAAAAACCAACAAAAAAAAAAACCAACAACCCAAACCCTGGGTGGGAAAGGGGAAAAAAACCAACCAACCAACCAAAAAATGGAAAAAAGGAGCAAACCCGCCATGGCCCGCCGCGGGGAACATCGGCGGGATCGTGGGCGGAGGGTGCGAGGATGCAACGGGCGGCTCCGCTGCCTTCGGGTTTCCAGCCCGGGGGAACGAAAGCGGCTCCGTGGGGCCCCCCCCGGGCCCCGCCACCCCCCAGCCCCGTGGGTCACTTACGCGGCTGCGGTGGCTCGTCCTCCCCCCCGGGGGTGCGGGCAGCTGCGCGGGGTCCCCCGGTAGCTCCCGGCCGCTCCAGGTTGAGGATGTCCTTCACCGAGAAGGGGGTGGGCAGCATCATCCGGGGGGGGGGGGGGTGTTGGGGTTTGGGGGGTGGGTGGGGGGTCGTCGGGTTTGTCGTGCCCGCAGCGAGGCTGTGCGCTCCGGGACCCCGCTCCCCGCCTCTCACCCTCCTGCTGCCGCCAGGCCAGGCACCACCCCCGGGCTGGGCTCTGGGGGGGTCCCCGGGGGTTGTGGGGAGCAAGGGAAGGCGGGTCGGTACCCCTGGGGCAGAGGGGGGGTGCGGGGGGGGTGGTGCGGCTCTCCCTGCTGCCCGGGATGCTCTGGACCCCCCTTCAACTCCCGAGGAAGGAGCCAAACCCCTTCCCCTCTGTATTTCCAAAACAAGGGGAAGTGAGAAGGGGAGGGGGATTTGGGCTAAACTGCAATAAAACAAATCAAGTCGATTTTAGCTCCATTAAGGTCACATTAGCGAGTGGCTTGGGGAGATAAGGGCTGATAAGGGACCACCTAGCTCCTGCGGGCCGAGGATGGGGGGGATGCTGTGAGAGCCCCCGCCTAGGTGGGCTGCCCTCCAACAGCACCACTGGGCCCCACTTTCCCCCCAGTCTGTCCCAGAGCTGCCTTGGCGGGTTGGCACTGAGTTGGCAGACCCCCCCCCCGCCGCCCTGCTGGGGCATGGAATTGGGCCAGAGTCCCACCTCCCCCCCCCCCCCCCCCCACGCCCCCCATGAGTTTGGGGAGCGGGGCTGGGTCATGGCAGCTCCGTGGGGCAGTGGGGAGGCACTGAGGAGCCCCACTGGCCGTGGGGTGGTGCTGGGCCTTATCTGAGCCCAGTGACCGGCTATTTCAATTAAAATTCCTAGCCGGCCTCAGGGGCTGGTGTTTGCTGATAGCCCTGACAGAGCGAAGCTAGTTTTTGTCTGGGTTGGGTTGGTATCTCTCGCACCACCGAAATAGCCAAACCGGACTGTTAGGGGAGGCTGAATAAATAAACTACCCAAATGCAAGCAAGGAAGTGAGGGGCTGGAACAGGAGGGAAAATAAATACAGTGGCTGGGGGAGAAAAGTGCTCACAGCCCCACGGGGTCGGTCCTCGTTTCTGTGTAACGCCTGGGCTCATTCCCAGTCCCTGGAGTCTGTGTTTTTAGCTCTGTGTGCATTCACGCCTGTGGGACATCCCTGCACGCAGTCAGTGCCTCGTTTTCCAGTGTAAAGTGGGAATTGTGACGGAACACATCATGAGAAACACGGAGCTCACCTTCCCCGGGAGGGTTTTGGAGTGGGTGGTGAGGCCTTTGCAGGCCAAGGGCTCAGCCCCCTCGACAGCATCTGCTAAATCCCTTTGGTGGGGGGAAATCCCAGGCCCTGCTCAAGTGCTTTCTTTCCATTTGTGCTCCTAGAGAGCACTCGCTCGCCTCTGAGATGGCTTCAAGTTGTGCCATCCCTCGCTGCGGGCCTCATCCTTCTCTCCTCACACTTGGTAGGAGTGTAAATTTTTCAGGGTGACTTTTGCACGCTGAAAAGATGCTTTTATTTTGGCTATTGCACTTGATGCCCCCACCCCAAAATTTCTAATCCCGTATAGGAACGACACTGCAGCTCATTTAAACCAGCCCCAGCTCCTCGGGCTGGAGCCTCCTGCCCGTGCTGGGCACCGCGGTGGCTGTGTGTCCCCCACAGCCCTTCGCCGTGCTCCCCACGGAAAAATTCAGCTCCACCAAACCCCTTCTCCAAGGCCGGGGCTGTGCCCCATTGGCAAAGCCTCTCCCCAGGGCCCAGGCTGGATTCATTGCCACGTCTAAATGGCTTGTTTGGGACTCGAGGCACCAAAAGGCGAGAGCAAACAGAGAGTAACATTACACCTTGGCTTGTTGATGGCGGGAGGGAGCCGGCGCCAAGGTAAAATGCTTGGCTGGGATCGAGACGAGCAGGAAGGAATTGGGGTAAGTAGCTTTATCCGCCCCTAATGACTCGGAGCGGCTGAGATTAATGGAGAGGCTGGAGTTTGGCTCTCAGGATCTGCGGAGCGACGCGGCACAGAGTGGGTTGAGTAAGGGGAGAGGGAAGGAAAACGGAGCTTAACACAGGGCAGGTGGCAGCGGGGCAGGATTTGTGCCCCACAGCGACCGTGGGGCTGTGCTGGCTGCTCCCCATCCCGCCCCGTCTGCCCCGCGGGCTCGCCTCCAGCCCTCCCTCGCTCGCAGAGCAGCGACGGCCTCTGAAGCATCCAGAAACTTGGATGGGGTTTGGAAATCATCTCCGCAGGCGCCGCCCAGGCAAAATCTGCCTGCTGAGTCGGCTCAGCCCCGGCCCCGCTCCCTGCCCCGTGCCCGGGAGCTTTCCCGGTGCCGCGGCCGTCGGGCTCGGGCCCTTCCCTCGGTGCCAGGGATGGACCACGGCGCTCAGCCGCTGCGTTTTGGCAGCGAGAGGCCACTGGGGGATTTCTGGGAAGAAGACTAAGAGGATCTATCACAAACGATCATAAATCACCAGCTTCTTTTTGACTGGCAAGTTAATTTTATTACAGCTCTCCAGGGACATTACTCCTCTTTTTAACTAGGTTAGATGAAATCAGGAGAAAGCTGCTTCTAGCTGCTGTTGGGCGTTTAAACGGGAGGATTTCTATGGCAGCAGCACAACCGTGGCTCCCAAAGTATCTGATTTCTGGCAGCTATCGCCGGGACACATCAGGATCCCGATGCGATGTCGGAGGAGCATCCGAGGCCCTGGAAACCCGACTCTGCCACGCGATGGGGCAGCCAGCCCTCCCCAGCCAGCCCTCCTGCCCTGCCGAAAGATTTGTTTTTTTAAAGTACCCAGAGTGAGGGAATAATGGCAATATTGAATAATGGGAATAATGGGACTATAATGGGAATAAAGGGAATAATGAGTGAGGTGGGTGCACAGGGGGTTTGCAGGCACAGAGCACGTGTATAGACATCTCTAAGGAGTCTGAAAATGCTTTGATGCAGTTAAAACTAAACTTAAAAGGGTTTTCTATATCGTCTCCTTTTTCCCAGCTACTTTTTGTCCTTTTTCATCAGTGAAATAAAACAAAAAGCAGAGAAAATGGAAGTGATGGCAGAGAGCAAGCTGCAGGCGGGTGAGGGAAAGCAGATTCCCTCTCCAAGGCTTTCTAATAAACACCAGGGGAAAAAAAAAAGCAGAAAAATGTGCTTCTTTTCAGAATCTGTGGGATAAAAATAACTTTGAAACTTTAGCAAGTTTTCATGGAGAAACCGCTTTCTGCCTGGATCCAGGATGAAGGCCACGTCTCTGCTGCGCTGGCTGAGGCGGGCAGGGTGAGGGCAGGGTGCAGGCAGGGTGAGGGCAGGGTGCAGGCAGGGTGCAGGCAGGGTACAGGCAGGGAACAGGCAGGGTGAGGGCAGGGTGAGGGCAGGGTGAGGGCAGGGTGAGGGCAGGGTGCAGGCAGGGTACAGGCAGGGTGCGGGCAGGGTGAGGGCAGGGTGAGGGCAGGGTGCAGGCAGGGTACAGGCAGGGTGCAGTCAGGGTGCGGGCAGGGTGCAGGCAGGGTGAGGGCAGGGTGCAGGCAGGGTACAGGCAGGGAACAGGCAGGGTGAGGGCAGGGTGAGGGCAGGGTGAGGGCAGGGTGCAGGCAGGGTACAGGCAGGGTGCAGGCAGGGTGCGGGCAGGGTGAGGGCAGGGTGAGGGCAGGGTGCAGGCAGGGTACAGGCAGGGTGCAGGCAGGGTGCGGGCAGGGTGAGGGCAGGGTGCAGGCAGGGTGAGGGCAGGGTGCAGGCAGGGTGCAGGCAGGGTACAGGCAGGGAACAGGCAGGGTGAGGGCAGGGTGAGGGCAGGGTGAGGGCAGGGTGAGGGCAGGGTGCAGGCAGGGTGCAGGCAGGGTACAGGCAGGGTGCGGGCAGGGTGAGGGCAGGGTGAGGGCAGGGTGCAGGCAGGGTGAGGGCAGGGTGCAGGCAGGGTGCAGGCAGGGTACAGGCAGGGAACAGGCAGGGTGAGGGCAGGGTGAGGGCAGGGTGAGGGCAGGGTGAGGGCAGGGTGCAGGCAGGGTACAGGCAGGGTGCGGGCAGGGTGAGGGCAGGGTGAGGGCAGGGTGAGGGCAGGGTGCAGGCAGGGTACAGGCAGGGTGCAGTCAGGGTGCGGGCAGGGTGCAGGCAGGGTGAGGGCAGGGTGCAGGCAGGGTACAGGCAGGGAACAGGCAGGGTGAGGGCAGGGTGAGGGCAGGGTGAGGGCAGGGTGCAGGCAGGGTACAGGCAGGGTGCAGGCAGGGTGCGGGCAGGGTGCAGGCAGGGTGAGGGCAGGGTGCAGGCAGGGTACAGGCAGGGTGCAGGCAGGGTGCGGGCAGGGTGCAGGCAGGGTGAGGGCAGGGTGAGGGCAGGGTGCAGGCAGGGTACAGGCAGGGTACAGGCAGGGTGCAGGCAGGGTGAGGGCAGGGTGAGGGCAGGGTGAGGGCAGGGTGTGGGCAGGGTGCGGGCAGGGTACAGGCAGGGTGCAGGCAGGGTGCAGGCAGGGTGAGGGCAGGGTGAGGGCAGGGTGCAGGCAGGGTACAGGCAGGGTGCAGTCAGGGTGCGGGCAGGGTGCAGGCAGGGTGAGGGCTGGGTACAGGCAGGGTACAGGCAGGGTGAGGGCAGGGTGAGGGCAGCGTGCAGGCAGGGTGCAGGCAGGGTGCTGGCAGGGTGAGGGCAGGGTGCAGGCAGGGTGAGGGCAGGGTGCAGGCAGGGTGAGGGCAGGGTGAGGGCAGGGTGCAGGCAGGGTGCAGGCAGGGTGCAGGCAGGGTGCGGGCAGGGTGAGGGCAGGGTGGAAGGGCATCAGGACGTGACAAAACACAGGCAGGTGAGGTGCAAGGCTGAAACCCCATCACTGGGGCAGGCTGTCATCTCCTGCTCTCTATTAATCTCTTTTTCCCCCATTTTAGTCAGCTTTTACCCTTGAGAGACAGGCCAACACTTCCCCAGCACTCTGCTCTGCTCCTGGCTGCTCTCTTGGGCTGGGTTTAATCATGATATTTTTTTTATCATTGTAAAATTACCATATTTTGGGGGAACCTGTTGAAAACAGGGGGATTAGATGAAGAGAGCG